CTATTCTTTCATCTTTTCTGTAAGTTTGAAGGTTTTCAAAATAAAAGAGTTGAAGAAAAAAATATATATACACACACACGGATACACTCACTATTATTGTTATAACCATTAAAAGAGTAATATATGGATAAAGAATAAAGACTGGAAAGAAATACTCAAAAATGAGTATAGTCACTGTGTTTAGCTGGTGGGTTTATGATTCCTTTTTTTTATATTCCAAATTTTCTGTAATGTTACATCTAGAAATCAACAGAAAACAAAATCCTCCCAGGCTGGAAGCCAGCATGTCACTTGAAAGGAAAACCCAAACCATCACCAAAGAAACACCAGACATAATAGCGAATGAAATGGGTGCCCTCCCTCCCCGACTGCTGCCAGGAGTCGAAGGTAAAAGTAGAAAGGGAAGGGTGGGCACCAAGGGGAGAGTGAACGGACTGAGGGCCTCGGAGCACGGAGGAGTCAGGAAATGGAACTGGTTCCAGGCGTGTGCTTCCTTGGACAACCCTCTGGGTATAAAGTAGGTTCAACTTTTTAGTTTGGTCTGAAACAGTTAAGCAAATCCAATGAATCACCAAATAACTTCCCTCCTGCTGTTTCTGTTTTGTGGCCTCCTAATTTGCCACAAAAAGACGATTTCTCTGCACAAGAGAAAGAATCCGGTAGGTGGAGACATAGAATCCAAGATCCTAAAACATAGGCTAAAATGCTACGCAGATGTCTTAAGGTTTCAATTTTATACTTTAAGAACATGTTTCCCCAAAGAGCTGCATTTCTGTGAACTGCTGACTGAGCCCCGTTTAAGTTCTTGCCTTTCGACATAGACTGAGTACGACCTAAGCAAGAGAGTTTTACTCGGACCTGGCAAGTGGGCCTGATCAATGCCGGCGTTATAAAAACCTAAAGTTGCTCCTAAACTTGGTGTGCAGTGATTGTGCCCAAGAGCCTCGCCGGGCAGCCCCAGAGACACACGTGCTGAAAAACAAGCTATGAACTTTAGCCTCTGACCCCTCTTCTGTTTCCAGTTGCTTAAAATGGAATTCTGGACAGACATTATGTTCTCGTTTCTAGACACTAAAGAACTCACAAGTGCCTTTGTATAATACAGGCTCGGGCAAAACAGGTTTACAGCTGTTCATATGGAAAATAATACAATAATTAATAAATATTAATACAAGAACAAACTGTGTTTCGCATACTCACAACTATAAACCTAGTTTTGTCCCACCCTGTATATTTAATATGAGTCTCCAAAAATTTTTTTCTTACAAGTACATGAAATCATTTCATTCTATTATATCACATGCCAGTAAGACCATGCAAATTTGTGGTTACATTTTATACATGGGACAAATTATGTTTAGACACCAGGGGAGAGATATCAGCAAAGAAGTATAAAGATTTCTTTAATGGGCCATAATTTCTCTTTGGATTTATTTATTCCAAAAACGGTTTATTAGATTTGTGCAAAAGAGTTAACACAGCAGGCCTGAGGCTGCTATCTCTAGAAGGGTCTGCTTGCAGGAGAACTTGGGAAATTGGCTTTCAGAATGGTTTCTCCACTACAAACTAATAAGGTCATTTCACTGGGCCTAGGCTCTCTATACAAACAAGGTGATTTATGGTAAATATCTGCTTTCCTTTAGGGAGTCTGGAATTGGAGTGGCTGCTAGAAAGAGAAAGCCTATGTGACCAGCTCCCAATAAAATCCCTAAACTCGGAGTCTCAAGTGGGCTTCTCTAGGTATATACATTACACACATGTTGCTGCATTTTCACTGCTAGGGGGAGGGTGAGCTCTGTGTGACATCACACAGGACAGAGAGAGCATAGGAAACCTGCAATCAGATTTCTCCAGATTCTACATATACCTTTTTCCTTTACTGATCCAGCCGTGTATGCTTATTCGGTCACTGTAATAAATTTTAGCCATGAGTACAACTATATTCTGACTCCTTCTGGTAGATCATTGAGTGTATGGGTGGTCTTGGGGGACCCCAAAAAACAAGACTCTTAGTTTGATTTTCCATGTAACTTTTGATTAGCTTATAAAAGCCTAAAAAAATACTATCCTAAAACTGTTATGCATCTTGAACAGACCACTAAAGTCTAAAACCAGGTGGAATAGTCTTCAGAATTGCTGTCATTCTACGCATGGTGGAGTAGCTGAGAATTTAGTTCACCAGCTCTAAATCCCCAAATGATATTCTTACTGCAACTTCCCAGGCACTAAAAGATAAATGTTCTCCACGAGGCAGAAAGCAGAGGTCATAGCTCAGGTGGACTTGCTCAAGACCCAGGATTGTTACATTCTGGGTTTTTAAAGATGTTGGCTGTACAGGTGTCATACAGTTAAATATCATGAGCCAATTTCTAGGAAAGGAAGTCATTATTCTAGAGTTCATAATCTTTGTCACATTTGTTTAGGATTGATAACAGACAGTAATCTTGTTTGACATAAATAGAGTCCCACCTCAGCTCACACTAGAGCCTCGCCATCAAAGCCATCATTTGCTTTTCAATGCTCACTAATGCCATGGAGCTGGGCAGAGAGGAGTTGAAGTGCAAGGTTCCTGTGGAATCCTGGTGTGTCACTGAATTAATTCAAGGTCACCATTCTTAGTTGGAAAACCCCCTGCAAGGTGTCAAGATTAGACTAAACTATATCCATCCTCCCTGCTATCTACATTTATTACTTTAATGGGTAATAAAAAAAAAACAACAACACCCTATGTGCTAGGGAGCCAGGGAGACAGAGATAAATAAGATGCTGGCTGCTCTTAAGGAATGCACCAGTGTGTGGCTAATACATAGGAATTCTGACAACCGTGGAAATCTGTTAGTTGTAATCCCAATATCAGCATCAGAGTTTTGTTAAGAGGATTTTCCTTTTCTCCGAGATATACTGTGTCTTGCTCAGGAGTCACTAGCAAGCACTTTTCTCAGAAACTACCAGTGAGCTTTACCCACAAACCACCAGCCCCATGCGGGAACCAGCAGGCACCCAGCACAAGGTGGGCAGGCCACACACCAGATACCATTTGTATATTAGTTGACATTTGCAAACAACCAGATAGTTATGTGTGAATTATTAAGTGTGAGTTATTTCTCCAGCCATCTTATTTGCTCCACTGTCACCCTCCTTTCATGCATGATCACTGAAATAATGGAGACAATAAAGTGGCTGAGAAGGGTCCCAACACATATCCAACGCGGGAATCCGCTGGAAGCGCCAATCTGCTGCATAAGCCACGCAGCCTCAGAACACAGGAAGCTCGTCCTTGCATGAAATCCCACGCTGAACCATGCCACATGCGCCGGATAAAGGAGAGCTGCTCGGCTGAAGCAGGGGACAGCCTGGAGCCCCTCAGCCTGCTCCTCGCAGCAGGCCTGGCTCCAGCTCCACAGGGCGCGGCATGAAAACCAGTGCACTGGTTCAAGAGAGCAAGGAGTGGTCACTGAGTCAGTAAGATGCCTGACATGCAAAATATACAAAGCTGCTCCCGTATGAACTCATGGTGAAAGGAAATGCCAGGGAACAGTGAGCTTCTCCTAGCAGGTAATGCCACAAATGTGTGTAACACAAGTACACACATACACACCATGCACCGATCCCAGCAGTCGTCAACTGCAATATTGCAAGGGCTGTTTGCTAGGGTGAGGCTCAGCAATGGCAATCTTCTAAACAACACATACCCAGTTTTTATGGTACTAACCCTAGGTATGGTACTAACTTAGATATAGTTTATAATTCTGGCTAGTTCCTTCCACTTTTAAAGTTATTACATATCGTATTCTTGGATGAGAAAAAGTAAAATACAAATTCTTCCCAAACTAATATTTAAATGTAAAGAAATTTTAATGAAAATCCATAAGGGCTTTTTTATTCGAACCTGATTTTAAAAATCGTTCTACAATTCATCTGGAAGAGCAGCAAAATACCTTTTGAAAAATATTAAATATATTAAATAATAATAGGAATAGGGTAGATAAGGGCTTGATTTACAATAATGCTGTGATAATGAAAAGGGTTATAAGAGTTCAGAAATAAGAAGTGAAATCATTAATAGAACAAAACGAAAATCCCTGAAACCAGTCTAAATTACTCAACTTACTAACAACTGGGGAGGGAGGGAGCCAGATCCCTACCTCATACACTGCACCAAACATAAAGTTCATATACAGGGTGTGCCCAAAAAATGTATACACACTTTAAAAGCTGATAGCTAAATTTTGAAAATGAAATGTATTTTAATAAATACTGCCTTTATAATTATTCAAAGTGTGTGTATACATTTTTGGGGGATACCCTATAGTCTACAGATTTAAACTACTATTTAAAATTGAAGCCATGAAAGTGCTAGTGAAAAAAATGGGTTATTTATATAATCTTTTGAGAAGGAAAGATTTTTCTTACGACACAAAAGGCAGAAATTCATAAAAGTAAAAGATTTGACTACATAAATAAAAACTATATACATATATAAGAACTAAAGTCCTTATTTAAAACTCTTTAAGGAAAATTAAAACTACCATTGACAACACAGAAGAAAAAGAACACTTTGAAAAAATATTTGCAACCTAACAAAGGATCAATGTCCTTCATATATAAAGTGCTTACCAATCATTAAGAAAAGGATATAATAGCAAAAGGAAAAGTAGGGAAAAGACTATGAACAGGCAATTCATAAAACAAAGAGCCAATAAAATAGTCATGTACTTATTAATCAAAGAGTCCACAAAATAAAATCCTATTTTTCACTTATCAAAATGACAAAAATTTCTAAAATAATACCCAGAATTAGCATGATTTAGAAAACTGACAGGTTACTGTTGTAGATATAATTAAATCATTTTTATTAAGAGAAAAGATCATAATTGTTAAGAAGGAAAAATGATTCTTCACTTTAAAAAGAAATCTTACAATAATATTAAATTTGATGAGAAACTTAGGGTGTTGATAGCCACATCTTGGGTCATTGTTAAGAGCAATAAGCTGGTTACCTGGAGGACAGTTTGCATCCCTGTTGCAGGTAAGCATTCAGGTTCCCAGTTGCTGCAAGTAATAGTCCCAGGTATGGAGGGGAAGGCTTCATTGGCCTAGAAGAAAACTCTGGATGGAACTGGACACCAACAAAATAGGGGTGATCTGAAATGAGAACAACCATGATATGATTGAAGCAAACAGGAGAAACACTTTAAAGGTCTTATCTTTGAATCAGAAACTCATTCAATAGTGAGATGATTATTTAACTTGTTATCATAGCTGGTTACTTTCAATCTTCCCAGTAGAATTGCAAATTGCAAAACACATCTCACTTAATAAGAAATCCAACATTTTATTTGTGGAAGATGGTATTAGAATGAGCAAAGTTAAGCAAAGTTTTTGAATGGCAAGATAAATTCTTCCTTCCCAAAATCTGCCTCCTTTTTGAAAGCCCTTCATAGACTTACATTGGGCCCATTTCCATGGTGTCCCTCACACTTTAGGCTAACTGTAGGTCATACTTTTCTTAGATGGGCTCAGGCCATTTTCTACAAGGTCTCCTTTCCCAAGGTAAGGGTCCCTTGGGAGTGAAGAAAGTGCAACTGCTCTTCTAGTCATAGCTTTAAGTTGAATATTCATCATAGATAGCACCATGAAACTGAACTCATATTTCAGTCTATGCCAACTTATCCCTTGTGATGAGCGGTCTTTGAGCGATAAGAGGATGGCCTTTCAATATGTTAACAGTAGTTATGGCTCAAGGTGGAAAAAGTTCAAGATTTTTTTCTTCTTCCTTATACTTCTCAGTATTGTGCAAAGCTTTACAATGAGCATATATTACTTACATTACTGGGGGTGGAGGGCATTAAGATATTTTCATATTGAGGGTCGTAAGAAGCCCCTATATGAGCAATTCAAGTTCTCCTAGATGTAATAAGAACAGAAAACTAGCTTTTCTCCGCTACTTTTAGCAGGAATCCCCTGCTTTGTAATGATAAGAATTAAATGGGCAACATTTCCAAATCTGGGTAGAAATTTTAGAAGATTAAAAATTCCTCTTCCCAATTGGAACTCCCAAAACTATGTTTTTCCCATATTAGGAAGAAACTCCTAATTGGAGACTGGGCAACTCTTTAATCCCATAATTACTATAGTACAGAGCATGGTCAGTGTGCTGTATTCCCTACTTTAAAAATCATTTAAATCGATATATATATATCAAACTGAAGATGATAAAAGAAGTCTTGTAGGGGGAAGTAAATACAATTTTAAAGCTTCCAGAGAGATGCTTTATCAAATGATTTAAAAATCTACTATGGAATTCAAAGTCACAAATCCCCATCATTTACCACTAGAGACTTAAAACTACTGTATAGTAGTGAGGACATGATGCTTGATCAGAAATGACCACTCTTCTAAGGCTGTTTAAAGCTTTACTCTACAAAATGGTAGCCCCTAGCCACACATGACTATTTAAATTCATTCAAATTAATGGAGGATGTTTCAATACTCAATAGCTACATATGGTTAGTGGCTACACTATTGAACAGGGCAGAACATTGCATCATTGCAGCAAGTTCTATTGGATGGCTCTGAGTCTAGAAAAAATCCAGTGTAGAAATCTACATCACATCTAGGAAGAAACCTCCTTGAATTAGAGGGACACTCGGGAATGAAAGCTTGGTCAGGGGAATGCCACCTTCTCTCAGGAATGTGTCCCCGCAAGAAAGTAGAAGAGAAATCATCCACACTTAGAAAAGAAACTAAGCAATGTCGCTTTAAATTTAAGATGTGATGAATCTTACAGCACAGCATCTAGTGATGTCTTTGAAAGAAGCAGACAGTAATTGTGTTTTTGTACCACTACAGACAGAAGCTGAGTAATGGATCACGTCATAGTCAGGGACAGGGTATTTAAATGAATGGATCATTGCTCTGAATCATTTTATCTAAAAAATCCTCTATGCCAATATGAGGAAAGAGACCATAAAGTTTTCATTTTGATGATGTTCTGTCAGATAAAGTATCTTTTACATAATGCGCTTAATTGCTTTGAACCAAATTCTGACATTGTACTAATTTTAAGCTTTGTTGTTCCTTTTAGAATTGCTTTAGTAATATCGAGATTCATGGATGTGCTTCTAAGGGGTAGCTAAGATCCAAATCTTCTGGGGAATTTTCCATAATAAAATCAATTCCCTGTGGTAAGCTTTTAAAAATTGCAAGGTTTTACAGTGGCTTTCATTTCCTTTGCAACCCACATGAAATTTGAAAGTGTCAATGGGAGTCTAAAACCTTGTGATGAAAGAGGCTCCTAATATTTGCTGACAATAATGAAAACCAGGAGAATTAACAGAGAATAAGTATTTGAACCGAGTAAACAAATAGTAATCTGCTTAAGAAAAGTCTCTGCCGGCTCACATACATGCCAGTGATCCACACTATACAAATTCTAAATGATGGCTATTTCCATCAGAAAGACTACAGGAAATAAATTCTCGTATTAGCAGGGATTGATAATCTTAAGTGGGTCGTCCAATGAAAACGAAGGAACAATAAAATCCCAAAGGGTGGTGGCAGAAGGAGGCTGGATGGCCCCGGGCAGTGTACTGAACCTCTCTGCTCGGCGGTGGGCTGCCTGCCTTTCCCAGTGCCTAAGCTGGAGGCTGGCAACGAGGGAAGGGGACAGGCAGGTAAGGAACTGGTAGAGCAATACATCATTTTACGATAGGGTCATACTAATGGGCTCAAAATGATTAGGATTCCAAGCGATCTGTTTTTTCACACACTTTATACTTAGTACATATCATTTATATTTAGTTGCATATTTATTTCAAAGGGGAGAGGAAAAAAAAAGAGACCAAACAAAATGGGTCTCAAGTTACAGCTTCACATGTCTACGGTCAACAAAAAGATGTTAAGTCAACACAAAAATTCAAAAATGAAGAGCCCACTTACTTGCCAGTTCGATGATTTCCATCCTCTCCCCATCAACATCCTGACCTACGAAACTCAAGTCGCTCTGCTCGAATTGGTTGATCAAGGTAGGGTTCACCTGGAAAAACAAGAAGTTAAATGTCTTTGGGCAGCAGAACAATACAGACATATCAGTTTATTAAAAGGGTACATCAGCCCTGGCCAGTTGGGCCAGTTCCCAATGGAAATAAGACCAGAAATGGCCTATGCTCAACAAATTATTTTCCACTCGTGGCAGCCTACTCAGCATCAAATCCCACCAGTCCTCCCTTAAAACAGAAGCCTGGGCATGCTCTGGGATCTACTCTACCCCGGCATGGCCCATGGACTCCATCTCCTCGATTCTTTTTCAGAGCCCGCTTGCAGTCACTTGGGCTCCTCACACCAAGCATCTATATTCTACAGTAATTCAGTGTGAAAGCATACCTCATACCGATGTCTGTGTCTTTCTTCTATGAAAGGAACATCTCCATAAAGCTTCCCTGTAACGATACAAGAGTGAAATTAATATTGGAGTACCAGCTTTGGAGCACACCCCTGGCATATGTGGGGGGGAAAGTCACTTTGATCTCTACCAGAGGCCTAAAAATGAACTAGACTCCAGGTAGTAATCTAGATTTTCTTCTCTTATAATACAGGACAGCAACAGCTTCTTTGAAACCCCGAAGCAATTCTCAAGGAAGCCATCACATGGCATAAAGGCAAGCTCGCCATTACGCCTGCCCCCGTGGGCTCCGGCAGACGTGCCCTCCTTTTATATACCTACCTGCAGGACTGAGACACTGAGTAACGTCCACGCCATCACTTCTGGGCAGATTCTTAATGGGGCTCATTTTATAAAAGAAGAAAATGAAACCAAAGGACGAAAAACAAAACTTGTCCAAAGCCCTGCCCCGCTGGCAGCACAGTGCGGCCTTGAGCCCAGGCCCAGTGCTTTCTCCATCCGGTACACGCTTTCACACAACACTAGCCACGATGCTCTACACCCCACCTTAAAAATATGCCCATCCTTTGACTCTAAAATTCTACCTCTAGGAATTTACCCAGAACAGTGCTCTGTTCAACAGGCAGGGGTCATCACACTCTCCCAGATGTCATGAAGCTGTGGAACAGGAAGTTTCAACGAAAAGAGACCAAATACCTGGTGTCTGGTTTGAGATTTTGACTTGGATGAAAAAAACACAAATTGGTTGTATTCTCGTACGGCTCAGTATGACCAATTACCAGACTGAACTTCTATTTGCAATTCTGTCCATATAGACTGAGCTCCATGGCGATGATATTACTGGCAGTGAGCATTTAGGTATGCATTTTAGAAATAAACAGGAATAGTGGAGGCAGAGAGCTCCTTTGAGAGACCTCCAGCATGACACAAAGAGGAGGGTCATTCAAGACCGAGCCTTGGTACTCAAACTATCAGTTCATAAAAATTACAGGAAAAATGGAAAATAATAGTACAGTAATGCCCAGCTGGAAAAATGGAAGCATATCTATTATCATGAAGTTACAAGAACAAGCAGCTGAAAGATTTGGATCTAACTTTGAGAGGATTCTGACTCCCTTATGACTTCTGACTTTGTGATTGACCTTTTCTTCCTATAGTCCAAAATCTCTTCTCTGCTTCTTTCAATTACAACAGATAACTTCGCAAATTCAATAACAGAGCCTGCGAATATTAACAGAGATGGTGAGGAAAATGGCAAAAATCTACATATTAGGATATAAGGAATTACACTTCCAGTCAATGGGACTAGCAGGATATCATATGAACTTTGAAACTGCATGGCCTACGCCTGCTGCCAGGCTTCAGGGAAACTTTGTGTTTGCTAAGATATCTTAGGTAACAGGAAGAAGGAGGAGGTATAGTGGCTCTGGAGCCAGACTGCCTGGCTTTAAATTCCACTGCACCATTTAATGGATGTGTGCCTTGGGCAAATTACTTTGCCTCTCTGCCTCAGCTTCCTCGGCTGTAAAATGGGGATTATGATAGTCTCTAGTTCATAAGCCTGTTGGAAGGATTAAATAAGTCAAAATATGTGAAGTGCTAGAACAGTAAGCAAATAAACCATGAGATTGCTATTGTTATCTCTAGACTATGAAATCCAAACAGAAGAACAGAAGCTAGAACAGAAGCTCTACAAGATAACAGACAAGATAGAGACCTGTCCCCTCAATTTTTGAGACAAGTGCCTAGCCCATAAGCAGGTACTCCACAAATGTTTGTTGAATGAGTGAATGAAATATTTATTTATTTATTTATTTATTTATTTATTTATTTCATGGTATATGATGAAACATGTTTTCAGAACTTTGGAAATATTACTTTCTGCATTCAAAATCTATCTAGATCACTTACAAATCTGTGAAGAATGAATTTATAAAATTAATCCATTGCCATATCTGTAAAAAAGGAAAAAAATAAAGTTTCCCTTAAAACTTCATGTTGAGAATCAGCTCAGTTCTACCTGAAAAACACCTTAAAAACAAAATAAAACTAAAAATGCTCATTCCTTAAATATTTATAAGACATCTCAGTTCATTTAAGTATCTAAACTCCTCCCCTTTCCCTAATTTTATTTTTCATAATCTGCTTTTATCTCAAATTTCTAGTATAAAAATGCTATTTTTCTACTTTTAAAATGCTAGTCCTTGCCTTTAGCTCTACATTGCAATGTTAATTTTTTTCATTGTTTGTATCTCTTTTCCCCCCCATTTAGTATTTTTATCTCATCTTTAACATCTCTTCTCTTACATTTTCTGTATTCTTCTGCTAGTCCATATTAGCAGGTGGGGAGCAAGGTGAGCAGAACAGAGGGACTGGAGAGAACCTTCAAGACAAAGGGCTGTCTGCTCCCCCTCTCCTCGGGCTCGTCCCTTCTGCCCTCCCACAGCCCTAGTGGGACCCCATTCTTAATACTAGGTCACTAACTGAAGTTTACCCTGAGCTTTGGGAGAATCCCAGGTCAATACAATAAATCCTTCACGTTTATGATCCTAACAGCCACACTTGAATAGTGCTTCTTCTGTGCCAAGCACTGTTCTAAGGACCCACATGTACGGCTGATTTAACCCTCACGAGAACCTCACGAGCAGGTGCTATTCCGATGTCTGCTTTACAGATGTAGAAACTGAGGTGCAGCAGGTAAGGCCTCCGAGGGGGCAGTGTGGTCCCACGGGCTGGGCTGTCAACCCCTCCACTGGCTCCCCTGGGTGAAGTGCTCAGGACAGTGTTGGTCCAGTAAGGGGCCATAAATGCCATCTGTTGTTATGACTAAAGGAGCTGTGTCTCAAACCATCTGTTGTTATGGCTAAAGGAGCTATGTCTCAGACCTATGAACTCCCGTGTTAACAAATACACATTAGCAAATGGTTTCCCCAGCAAAAAGCAGGACAAAGCAGGAGAAAGGGCCACCCTGCAGTGTGGCCAGTCCACGGGAAGGCAGCAAGCTCGCCAGCTGGCATACTCCTGTCACGAGGCCCCACCATGCTCCTTTCCAATTTGTGTCTCAGCACGACAAATTGCTGTGGCACAGACTTTCGGCATCCCTAAATCCCTGGTGACCTCTTTTAAACTGTTTTGTAAATCACCTCATTAACCCAGCCAAGGCTTCTTGTAAGGTATGGCTGTTGTTTTTTAAACTTCCCAAGAATCTAATTACACTGGGAACTAGAAGCTGTTTTTCTCTATCAATGCTTTGGTAAGATCTAAGAAAGCAAAAACGATTTTTCCAGCCCATGAAAATGTGTCTCCCCTTATCCCCATTGCTTTCAGTTCTTTCAAATTTGAGATTGAATCGCTCTGAATTTCCAATACCATGAATTTTACCCAGCTCCTTAACACTGGGACTCAGTACTCTCCCAATTGGCCTCTTGCCTCTGTTTTCTCAAAACAAAAACCTTTTCTCTAACAGTAAAGCAGAACCAAGAGTTTAGTCAAGTCCTTCTTCTTATGAGAAAATACAAAGAAGGTCCCCAAAAGGAATTAAGTCTTTTGCTAAAGCATTCAGTTTCTACCTTCTGAGTCCAGCCAGCTTTGCTGGCCTCCTGCACCCTAGACTCTGCTACACCGCCGGCGGCATCACCCAGACGAGCTCTCCCCGGCTTCCTCTGCCAGGTGACATCTGCCAATGCCAAGTCCATTCTCACTCTTCTCACGCCATCTGCCCTGAGGTTGAGGGCTATCACCTCAGACCTCTGAACGGGAAATCACCAGGACCTGGTCTCCCTGCAGGGGGCTCCTGATTCCTTCCAGGACGTCCTGGGGTCACATTCTCCACTGGTCTGGACGCTCCTAGAGGGCAAATGGTATCCACTTGCTTTTAAAGATGCCCCCTCCCACCTCGCCCAGCCAGTGCTCAGGGCCCGGCCCTTTCCCTTCTCTGCCTCCCGGAGCACTAGGGGCTCCTCTGCACCCTTCTACCCCTGGCATTCCTCTGTTTCTAAAGGCAAGGGCTCCCTAACCACTTGGATGCAGAGCTATACTAATCGCATATAGAATCCAGACCGCTTTAAACTGGGTTTCCTCCAGCATTCCTACCAGCGCACATACACTAGAGTGTGCTATATTCAAACACATTATCTGACTGATCCAAACAACATGTTCTTTCTGGTAGGTGGCACTTTGGTTTGAAAACCACACTTGGCATGGACCAAAGATTCACTTCCATTCCAGGGCAAGTCTTGGCAACATGTCTGGGGACCTGACCAAAAAATGTAAGCTTGGTGCCTGTAACACTTTGGAAACACGTCATATCAAACAAGTTGTCAGCTGTCCCCTGAATGAGCTCTGAACCTTCTCTGAACTGCTTTGTACTTTCTTATCTTCCCATCTCTCATGCTCAGCTGAGCCACAGGCAAAACGATAAAGTTTACTTTTGGAATCTTAAAACCCTCTCATAAAAATGTTCCTTGGTGCTCTCCCTCCCCTCTCACCTGAGCCTGACCCCCTCCATCTCTGGCCTCACCTCATTCTAGATTTCTCACTCTTCAAAGCACCCCTACTTTTCAAAAGTCATCTAATGATTTAATCAACCAAGTAAAGATGTCACTATAAGGACATAAGTCCTACCATCTACGTTCCCAACTAAAATGTGGGGGTTTTTCCAAATTGAGGTATAATTTACATGCAATAAAATATACATATCTGAAAGGTAAAGCATTGGACAAGTGTAACAATCATAAAAAGCGTTTTGAGGGTTACATTTAGAGAGTGAATGTAATGGTGGGCTATGGATCCAGGGCCATGTGTTCCAGTAGAGACTAGAAACTATGTAAGAAGAGTAATGAGCAGGCCTGTTCTGACCACCCACCAACTATGGGCCACTTCATGGCCCTCCTCTTCCTCAGCTGAAAAATACAGAGGTTGGATCAAATGACTTCTGAAAGCCCTCTTGGCCTTACTCTGTCACTAAACAGGATATTTAGGCAGCAAGTGGACAAGCGGGGAGACATTCTCTCCAGGAGGGTAGCAGCCTGGTTTGTG